GCGGCTCCCAGTGTGCCGCGCGCCTCGGGACTGCAACTCCCGGCATGCGCAGGGACAGCGGGCTCGGCTCCCGGCGTGCACCGCGATGTCGCAAGGCTTTTCTTCTCCACGTCATATGGGAGCCTCCGATTGGTTGCGGCCCGCCGCGGGGGCGGGATTAGGACGGGGCAGGAAATGGCGGTAGGTGAAGCTGCGCACGTGATTCGGAACGCACCACTGGCGGGGGCACTTAGCGCCGCGCCCCCGAGGTGGTACAGCCCGGGTTGGGCGGTCCTTGTGGCGCTGCCCCAGCCCCTGAGTCGTCAGGCCGCGGCTCCGGGAGTCCCGGGATGGCGCAGGCTCTGGGCTCTTTTTCGAAGAGGGGACTAGACAACTCTCCTCTTGAAGATTTCATCCAATGCTGGATTTTCTGGTGATCAGGGACAACGACTACCACAATTTAGGTAGGTCCCTAATTACATAGATAGGAGCCGGACAAAAATCACCTGTATCATGGTGTAGTGTCCTCATGGGTTCATCATGACATCACTCTTGTAGCTCTGCACCTTTTCCTCAACAGCCAAAAATGAGCAGGAAAACATCATCACATAAATGGACTGTAAAAGTAATCAACCCTAGAGGACCCATTGTCTTTTTAACAACAATTACCCAGTCTTCTCCAAGATAGGGGTCTAATTTCATTGTCAACCTCCTTCCATTTCTCTTAATGCCTAGAGTTGTAAGGAAGGCAAGACAAAACGCGAGACAAACTCACTTTGGCCTTTTTATATTTATCAACTCTCCGATGATGTTAATGGAAGGGAATAGCTTTTTATAGGTGCAGAACTCCCTTCACTACAACAGCTAGGAACTGTCATCCATCCCAATCATTGCTGCATTCATTCTGGACCATTTATTGTTGTCATAGATTTCATGCGTGTACACAAACCCATCAACAGCTACTTGAGAGCAATCCTAACCTGTCACTTCCCAGTGTAGGGCTCTTTGCTATTTTCCTCTAAGAATTAACAGAAAGATTTAATGCAAGTTTTTCCACTGGCAAGAATGATTTCTCCCTTGTGGGATTCAAATTTGGTACATTAGTCTTCAATAGAACCATGTTTTGAGCTGCTGTCACCCTGCTTATCGCATCATCTGTCAGCGGGTAGTGGATTGTATTAGAATGGCATATGATGTTAACAAATTAGACACACCAAATTATATCAGTGTCTGTTCAGCTGGTCTAAACTACCTTAATAGCCTGTTTCAGCAGAGTTCCAGCAGCTGCCATCTGTAGGGTCATCACAGGGTGGTCACACAGTCTTTGTTTCATGCATTTCTCATCCTTGTCGAATGGAAATTTGATGCTGAAGTAGGGAAAGCATTTCTTCAATCTGTATTCAGGTGAATGACCTCTGGAGGGCTCTTTTCTGTGCTTCTGTGAATAGAATTAAACTGGTAAACTGAACTGTGAGTGGGATCCACACACAGAGAAACTGGAAGAAGAAAGGATGAAAAGTTACCTGGCAATAACTGATTCTTAAAAATGTTCTGGATCCCAGATGCTTGGGGAAAAAAGAAATCGGAAAGATGTGTGTGTGCCATCATCCAGCCCCAGTTCATAGATCCATAGATGTTAGGGTCAGAAGAGACCTCAGTAGGTCATTGAGTCTGACCCCTTGCCCTAGGCAGGAAAGAGCTCTGGGATCAGACAACCCCAGCTAGGTGCTTGTCCTGTCTCTTCTTGAAGACCCCCAGGGTAGGGGAGAGCACCACCTCCCTTGGAAGCCCATTCCAGATTCTGGCAACCATTACTGTGAAGAAGTTCTTTCTAATGCTCAACCTAAATCTGCTCTCCATCAATTTGTGGCCATTGTTCCTAGTTACTCCAAGGGGTGCCCTAGTAAATAGAGCATCTTCTATTCCCTGCTGCCCCCTCCAATTAATTTATAGGCAGCCACAAGATCACCTCTCAGCCCTCTCTTGCAAAGGCTGAAGAGATCTAGATCCCTCAGTCTCTCCTCGTAAGGCCTTGCCTGCAGGCCTCTGACCATATGAGTGGCCCTCCTCTGAGCCCTTTCAAGATTCTCCGCATCCCTCTTGAAGTGCAGCACCCAAAACTGGACACACTACTCCAACTGCAGCCTGAACAGTGGGGAAGCATCACCTCCCTGAACCTGTTCATCATGCATCTGCTAATGGATGATAAAGTGCGGTTAGCCTTGTTGATCACTTCATCACACTGACGACTCATGTTCATCTTGGAGTCAACTATGACTCCAAGATCCCTTTCTGCTGCTGTGCTGCTGAGAAGGTCATCCCTCAGCTTGTAAGTGTGTTGGTAGTTCTTTTTGCCCAGGTGCAGCACTTCGCATTTGTCTTTGTTGAACTGCATCCTATTTCATTCTGCCCATTTTTCCAACCTGTTCAGATCTGCATGAACCAGTTCCCTTCCCTCTGGTGTATTAACTTTGCCCCATAATTTGGTATTGCCTGCAAACTTGGACAGGGTGCTCTCCATGCCCTCGTCCAAGTCACTGATGAAGACGTTGAATAGCACTGGTCCAAGAACCGAGCCTTGCAGGACTCCACTGCCCACATCTTTCCAGGTCAGTATCGACCCGACCACCACCACTCTCTGGGTGTGACCCCCTAAGCCAATTTGCCACCCACCTGACCATGTAATCATCTACATCACAGCCTGTCAGTTTATTTACGAGAATGGAATGAGATGCCGTATTGAAGGCCTTTTTAAAGTCTAGGTAGATAACATCTACCTCAACTCTGGTATCCAAGCATTTTGTGACCTGATCATAAAAAGAAACAAGGTAAGTCAGGCAGGATCTACCTGCAATGAACCAATGCTGATTTCCTTTCAGCATTATTTCCCCTGCTGGGCTCCCACAAATGTGATTCTTAATTATTTTTTCCAGTTTTCCCAAGGTAGAGGTGAGACTTAACAGGCGTAGTTTCCTGGTTCCTCCCTCCTCCCCTTCTTGAAAATAGGGACCATATTGGCCCTTTTCCAGTCCTCTGGGACCTGACTGGTGCACCATGAGTGCCATGCAAGCAGCTCTGCTATGACACTAGCCAGTTCCTTCAGCACCCTTGGATTAAGTTCATCCGGGCCGCTGATCTGAACACATCCAGCCCCTCTGACTGCCCGTTCATTTGTCATTTTGGGTGACAAATCAGCATCATCTTACGAAGACTTTTTTTTTTTTTAGAAAGAATTAATGAGTGGTTTTAGGCCTGACATCTTCCAACTGATTCAATCGCTTGTCGAGGGTAGCACTCTTAAGTATGTGCACACTGTCACTGCCACTAGCTGCACACTATAGACCCAATCTACCTCCCATTGACAGCAGTCTCTATGAATTTAGTAAGAAAACATATGTATCATCTCATGCATATTCACAGAGCATCATTTCCAAAGGCTCTTAACTCAGTAAGTAAAAGCTCCCCCACCTTAAAAAAAAAACAAAAACCAAACAGAATGCTTGAAAGCTTTCCTTCACAGAGATAGTAATTTCCATGCCTAATTCTAGCTGCCAGTACATAGCTATTTCAGTTACCAATTATATAAAATCCCAAAATGAGTTTTTGTAATGGGGAAAGTGTGTCTCCTCCCTCAAAACAGCTGCAATATTCTGTTCAAACTTTATGGCTAGGGACAGACATTACACATAAACATAGGTTTAAGTCATCAAAAAGTGGTTTAAACCTGTAACAGAACAGAAATTCAATGCACAGACACCAGTTTGAAAATGGCAGAAACCAGTTTGAGATAAACCTGGTTGAATGTAGTATCAGACTTAACTGATTTGGGTCAAACTGGCTTATGCAATGTCTGTCCCAGTCCTCTTCCTGGTTTAAGTTAAACCTGAGCCCCCCAGCATGCTCTCTGGGCTGGGCTGGACTCTGTTCCAGAGAGCTGGACTGGCGACTCCCCTCTGCCCCTCGCTGGAGTTGTGGCAGAGACTTGCAGGCAGAGCAGCATCTGCCTGGCTTCCCCTGCCCTACTCTCCAACCTCCCCTTGCTGCTCAAGCAGGAATTTCCACCCCCTGCTTGCCCCACCCAGCACGGACCATAGCCAGCATGTGGTATGCTAGCTAATGCTGAGAGGTGTCTGTGTAAGGTAAACAGGACAAAGGCAGACAGGACAGTGTTCGCTTGGGGCTTTTTGGAGCTAGTCAACAGGTAGCTGGTAATGTCCCTCCTTGGAATGCTCCCTTCCTTGGAAAAAGTTCTTTAAAAAGAGCTTGAACTCATGAGAGAGGCTTTGTTTTCTGGTGGAGTGCTAAATGCTGATAGCAGAGCTCATAAATGCTCTGTTATCAAGGGGGAGGGGGGGAGTAACCCCTCCCTAATCAGAGAATTCTGCCAGGGCCTGGCCACACCCCTCCTCAGCTCAGCATTTTGAAAGGGAAGGGAGGGCTGCTTTAGCATCCCCTGGCTTCTAGCCTGAGCCACTGCAGGCATGTGCCTGAATTTCCTCAGTCCAGAGGTGATGTCTGTGTGGTTACAAACCAGTTCAGCTTAGCCAGGTTAGACTAACGTGCACAGACTGAATCAATTCAAGCTCAGGCTTATAAAACTATTTACCCTTTGACCAAACCTCAGGTTCAGAGAACTTCATCCTCAAAGGTATACTATTCAGACAACTTACACAACTGGAATGGAGTTATTATGGAAACTGCTATGTAACTACAAGTGGAGATATTACGATCAGAGAACAGTGCGGGGAGGGAGGGAAAAGAAAGTGTTGACTTTTACTTCTGCCTACATATTACTGCCAGATGTGTTGCAAGCCATTGTTTACAATAAATTACTTTCATTTTACAGGGAAAGATTATAAATGATGCAATTACATGCCTGGCTTGTAGTCTGCTGACTTGTGTATACTAGTTTCTGAGATAGAAGTACCTTATTTGCTCAAATACAAGACAAGGTCATTCCCCCCAAATGACATGGGGGAAACAGAGCCCCTTGCCTCAATTGCATACAAGGAAATCTCGCTAAATACACTGGCTGTCATTAAAAGCGACATGCTTAGCAATGGAAACCAATTACAAAGTTGATTAAATGTAGCCAACACTGAGCATAACCGTAAAACACATTGGCCCACATTGGGCAAACATGCTGATGGGAACTTACCACATTTTTTTTTATTATTTCACATCTTGGGTCAAATCAATTCCAAATTCTGTCAGCTGAGCAGAGATCAGTTGTTCAAATCTATGTGTCACTACCACCAGCAAGTATCCTACCTCCCAGATTCTTTGGCCTGGTGCTTCAGATACCCCCAAATTCATAGCAGGCACCCTACATTTGGGCCCCTGCCCAGAGGCCTTGGAGTTTGAATGCCCCCTAGTCCTACTTTCCCTTCGCCAACAGGCTGAAGAGGTAAACTAGATGAAAAGCCTGAGAGCAATCCCCCATCACCATAAATTGTGTAGCCAAGACCCTCCCATTGGGAGGCTTTAGTAGACTCTTGCAGGGGTCAACCTACCTGCCAGTCAGACAACAGGCTTTTACTTGCTTTTCTTCTTGACCTTGAATGACAGTGTAGTAGCATCTCCCCTGCCAGCTCAGTAAAACCACCTGGGCCAAAACCATCATCCTGGTATCTCCCTTCCCCTGCCTGGTAACCTACCACAAGAAGAGATTAGTAAAGCCCATCTGAATAAGACATATGGTAGAGCCCATTAAGTGCAGTCCCCCTCCCCACCAACTCTTTCAAATCATGGTAAGCTACTATATTGCATATATTTTTACTTAAATGTTTACAATTTATATGATTTCATAGATTTCATAGATATTAGGGCTGGAAGGGACCTCAGAAGATCATTGAGTTCGGCCCCCCCGCCCGAAGGGCAGGAAGTCAGCTGGGGTCACAGGATCCCAGCAAGATAAGCATCCAGTTTACTCTTGAAGGTGTTCAATGAAGGCGCTTGAACCACCTCCAATGGCAGGCTATTCCAGACCTTGGGGGCTCTGACAGTAAAGAAATTCTTCCTTATGTCCAGCCTGAAACGGTCTTCCAGTAGTTTATAACCGTTCAACCTCGTCATCCCTTGGGGCGCTCTGGTGAACAAACGTTCCCCCAGATACTGGTGGTCACCCCTGATAAACTTATAGGTGGCCGTCAGATCACCCCTGAGCCTGCGCTTTTGCAGACTAAAGAGCCCCATTGCTCTCAGCCTGTCGTCGTAAGGTCTGTTTTTCTGACCTCTGATCATGTGCATGGCTCTTCTCTAGACTCTCTCAAGCTTCTCCACATCCTTTTTGAATTGTGGGGCCCAAAATGACGCAGTACTCCAGTTGCAGCCTCACCAAGGCCAAGTACAAGGGGAGAATGACGTGCTGGGATTTGGTTGAGAAGCATCTACAGATGCAAGCCAGCATTTTGGTCGCTTTACTAGCCGCAGCATCGCATTGAAGGCTTATGTTCATCTTGTGGTCAATGATGACCCCCAAGTCTCTTTCTTCCGTAGTGCTAGCCAGTGTAGCACTGCCGAG